AAAAAGCAGCATGGTATTGGCATGTTTTTTTGGACATGCACTATAGGAATAGACTATAGCATGCTTTTATGTGCATTTATTATGGTAATATCATAGTTAAACATCAGCAATGTTAGAAGTATATTTACCTTGGAGTATTGCATGCAAGTACTATTGTCCAAAAATTTGCTAGCATAATGATACTGTACTTTTCCATGCTTTTGTGTAATATAACATTACCATGGTCAAAACTTGGTCACACTTAACTAAATTTGTCACATGATCCTTGACCTTTTGATCTTAAGAGCAACCATACAGTACAAAAGCAACCATGCAGTCACATAATTCTTATACTCGTGTTTATTTCATAGTTTTGATGACTTGTTTACATTGTTCCAAAATGTGAACAATAGTAATAAAGGATGAGTTGGCGTGTGCAAACTTGAGTTTGTATTAAAATACCTGGGTATTATCCTCTGATACAATAGTGTGCATTAGTTTTGCTAAGGGCTGAACAATTAAAGGAGACATATTATGCCCATTTTTACAATATGTAATTTTGACGAGTGGGGGCGGGGCCGAGAGCCGTGGGAACGGAGCGAGGCCAGTGGAGTAATTGATAATGAGCGACACCTGCACCACTCACCGGTCTCGAGTCTCACGGAGGAGCTCCGGAAGGATAAAAGGAGGAGTGACGACAGTGAAAGACGAGAGAGGACCAGGCCTGGACTTTATTTTGTGTTTTGGTTCTGTTTGTGCGCGACAGTCGTCCGCGAGGGGCTATTTTGTGTTTGTTTTATTATTAAAGTTTTCTTTAAATGTTTGCCGGTTCCCGCCTCCTTCCCGTGACTACGAACTGTGTTACAGTAATATAAGTCTCTGGTGTCCCCAGAATGTGTCTGTTAAGTTTCAGCTCAAAATACTCCACGGATCATTTATTATAACATTTTGAAAATGTCTATTTTGAGTGGAAGCAGAAACACGCTGTTTTTCGGGCCTGTTTCTTTAAATGCAAATGAGCTGCTGCTCCCCGCCCCCTTTTCCAGAATAGAGCTGCGCCTTTACAGCTCGTACCTGCTAAAACATCTGTTTTGGTTCTGATTATCATGTTTATCGCACTGAAATCATGCGTTTTAAACCATATGAGTTTAAACTCCTGATATATGGTTTTCTGAGCGCACGCATCTGAAGCACACGCACAGAAAGCGGCTGTCACAGCATGAGTTCTAAACTAAGTTCTCATTCACACACAAGTTTACGTTAAAACCACACACACAAGTTACAAAAACAGTCGGTTATGTCTGTGAAGGTAAGCAGCTGGGAAATAAATCGCATGTTTATTTGAGATCTGTGTGGCAGCAGCAATATACAGTAAATAAATCAATAAATGCACTTCTCTCATCTCCTCTGACGCTGGGACTCTAAACAGTGTTCTGTGCTCGTCTGTGCAGCCAAA